CAAAACTACCAAAAACCAAGTTAAACAAGCTGGTTTTTACCATTTGAATTTTGAGACAGAAATGTACTAATTTCAAATCCTCCTTGAGGTAGCAAGAGAAGGGCTCCATGACATTTGACTTCAGACCATTTAATTGCATTCATCAATTAACTGTAAGCCATTTCACTGGTTTGCTTTTCACTACAGAAACCCTGTAGAGGGGAAAATTAAATATGCTAATAATTGTTGCATTATGGGAAAATCCTTGAGAGAAGCTCAGGTGGATTGTTCCAGATACAAAAATTGCCAGATTAAGTTCAGAACTGAAGATTCTGTGCCATATCATGAAAATAAATTATAATGTCCCTTGACTGTCACTGTTCAACCAAGGTCAGTATAGTCATTAACTGTGTTGTACTTCATTTTCTGAGGCTAAAAATCAGGTCAGAGTAGTGCCAGCACTGCTCTGACCACATGGCATTCCTTTACTCCTCAAGAAACACTTGATAAATAATTTTTTTCACTTTAAAATCTCATGACATTTTTCATCATCACCACCATCTTATCATTGGATGAAAACATTCCTGACCTCCTTGGACAATGTGGTTGTAGATGTTCTAAAAGTTGCTTTCAAACATTGGTGCTGCTCAATCTCCAAGATGTCTGACCCATGTTCTAGAAGTAATTTCCTACCAGTTCAGTGACTGCTGGAAAGACTTTTGTGAGAACATGGGATTCACCAACAACTTTGTGAGGAGGAAAAAAAGTGAGCACAGGAAACATTCAGAGGTGAAGTGAAAGTTGTGAATCAATCCCATAGACAGCCTAATGTGTGACTAAGGCCCTTTCAAAGTTGCTTCACATTGCTGCAGGGTTAAGATCCCAATGAAGTTCCTTCAACTTTCCCATTACTCTCATGTAGTTGTTCTATGCTTTGGAAGTCATGAGAACATGGACAAGAATAATGACTTTAGCAATGCAAGCCAAAGCATGGATTGTGAAGAGCTGAAAAAATATTGCAGGTACTTTAAATGTAAAATGTATTCAAGGATGCTACAAATCCTGTAAAAGGTAAGGCTTAAATGCTGAAACCTCCTTTAGTTAACAGTCCTTTTAGAATACAAGAACTCCTATAGAGGAAAAAGAGCTCTTAAGCTTAAAGGCCTCCTTAACTCTCCTAAATGAGGTTCGTGCATTCTGACCTAAATATTTTATTCCGTGCAAAACAGAAACCTTTTTGAGTCATTCCTACAGCTATCAAAAAGAAATAACTCTTTGCCAATCCTTGTGACCTTGACTGTGTCTGGGATGTTGAAACCCATATGAGACTGAGGAAAATATTTCATTTGTGATACATTCTTCATTGCCAATAGCTGGGGAGAAGTGACCTAGTCGAGGTTTTGCACCTGGTCAGCAATTATTGTATGTTTTGGAGTGACAATATCAACAGAAGCTTCTATTATGCGATGAATGCAAGTCTCACTCTCAACTTTGGCTGGTATAGTATTGCCATTATTGTGATTTCCCACATAAGAAACTGTCACAAGATGGGATAGAGGAATAGAATCAGACCTTGTACTTATTTGATATATGGGATTCACATGTCCAAAATGTTTTGCCTCCAATACTCCTTTTCTTTATGAATGACATCTGCATCAACCAATTAAGGCTGACCCTTACTGGTGATGATGAAAAAGGTCATGAGATATTACAGTGAAAAAAATTATATGCAAAAATCAATGTGATAAGGGCTATGGAATCTGATATGAATAGCATGACCATTAGTAAGCCTACAGCAGGACATAAACATTAAAGATGAACATGCAAGTATGATTCAATGAATGAGCAAAGGCTAAAACTGGAATGAGAACACAGCAGTAACTATGCCATGATGGAAACATAAAGTGACTGTCTTTCATTCATGTCTTGCACTCTCTCCATGGAATGAAAACAAGAAGTCAGGAGGGATACACAAGAAAATAGATAAAGTCACACTACAATAGAGTGCTACACAGTAAAGTAACAACAGCAAAAATGACCTCAGCTGAATTGCATACAGAGAACCATTATGCCAAGCAAGAGAAGTTGATATGCCTCAGTAGTAAAGAACTTGGAGTTGAAGACATCATATTATCTTAAATTAAAAAAAATCTGATTTGAGAATTAATTATAAAAGAAAACCATGTAGCTATTAAGCATGCTGGTCTCGCTCTTCCATCACAATGCAAGTTGTTTCAAGAGTGAATGTTGTCTTTATAGCAGACAGAATACACAAGGACTCACATAATTAGAGGTAGATATGAACAGTGCACACTTTGATTATCTGAGGCAATTACTTCTTGGGTCAAGAAAAACAATAGTTTCATCACTGGGATTGCATGTTCCTGAAATTCTCTGGCAAATCAGAGGATGCAATAGGCAACAGCTCTAAAATTAATAACATAACTGTCAACACACCACAACAGGAAGGATTGACAGTTGATGTAAATGTTTTGCTGCAGAGTAGGTCTTTGTGAAGAGGACATGCATCTGAGTAGGCACTCGAGGAGTAGTATTTCCATATTGCTACTTGTCCAAAATGATAATGGCAAATTCCATGAAGTATAATTTGATTACACTAGGAAGAGCTAACAGAGGAGCAAACAGGAAGAGGAAGGCTTCTGGCTAACACTTCAGGTCAAAATTTGCACTGTTATTGGCACTCATTCTCTTTTCATGGCATGGTCAAAAATAAATAAAAATAAACATTTTAAAAGTATATACTGAATTTGATAAACTTAGTGCAATCCAGTTCTGCTCTTTCCTTCTAACAGAGAACATTCAGAGCATCTAAATTTTTATGTCATGAGCAACAAAGGCAAACATGCATGCTTTTTGAGAACTTCCCTAGTTCAGAGCCAGCCCTGCTGAATGTACAGGGTGTCCGAGAATTGTCTGGACAACTTTTTCACTAAATAAATTATCAATGAGTAGGTGTAAAAATGCCCATGTTGTGTCATTTTATAGAGAAACCTATTAGGTTTATTATGTGTAACTGTTATTTTGTTTGTACAAAAAGTTTTTCCAAAATGTTGATTTTTGAAGCATGAAATGTAGCCTCATCAGAAAACATGATTATTGTCAGGAAATCATTTTCCTCGTCGACTTTGTCAAGCATAGTCATTGCAAATTCCTTATGCACGACCTTATCATTTTTTGTAATGTACTGCAAGATTTGCAACTTGTAGGGATAAAACTTCAAATGTTTACGCAAGACATCATGCACTGTCGAACGAGGTATCTGTAACTCTCATGACGCAATTCTCGTCGACTTGCGTGGACTGCGAAGAAAGGCCTCTCGAATGGACTCAACCTTTTCTTCAGACGTCCGTAACATTTTGGAAAAACTTTTTGTACAAACAAAATAACAGTTACACATAATAAACTTAATAGGTTTCTCTATAAAATGACACAACATGGGCATTTTTACACCTCTTCATTGATAATTTATTTAGTGAAAAAGTTGTCCAGATAATTCTCGGACACCCTGTATTCAGAGAAAAATGAAAAATCCTGCAGGGCTGAGCATATGTGGCATCCACAATATCATGCATGTATAATATAGCTAAAGAGATGAAGTGAAATGCTGCACTGACCTCTGGTTGAAGAGTCAATGATGGTCGCTTAGTGATTGCATACCGACCATGGACCTGCCCTCCCCCAGAGTCAAGATATACTTGCTCCTATTCAGGAAGATTTTAGAGAGCAATATCAATTTCATAATTAATCAAAACAATATATATATATTTAGAGCACCATTTCAAATATAATCACTATCATATTAAGAAAGCCTTACCCCTGCTGAAGTATTTGAATTCTAGACATTTTCTTTCCTTTCGCATTCATTAAAGTATAGGTTTTCTTCATGATATTAGCAAAAGCCAATTCAATTTTGGCATTCTCCATTTAAATTTTAGCAGCTATCAAGAAAATCCTGTTTCTGGTGACTAATTATAGTATGCAGAGAAGCCAAATAATCCAATTTTTCTGTTATAAGGTGGTTTCTGAGAATAAAGTATATCACCCAGAGATAACATGTTCATAAACACAAACCTGCCGATATTAATCTTTTAATCTTTTGTCTATTACGAACTAGCTGCGAGGTGCAATGGAAATTTTATTTAGTAACATGGGGTCCCTCTACAACTCTATACTGACCCCCGAAAATTTTGACTCCTTTGGGGAGTCTGTAGTAGTGCATCGGCCAAATATGTACTAAATAAGGTACCCCAGGGAGTCCAAATTTTGAAATGCCACCTAGCCTATGACGATCCTCAGACCAAATGAGGAAGCCATGCGAAGTTTGGTTGGACTGGGATCAGAGGCGTGGCTATGCATCTATGCATTTTTTCTATAAGAATTATTCTACAGCTCTTAGGAATTGAGATCTGTCATTATTGCCTTGTATAAGCAATCAGATGGCTCATTGTTGTGGGGACCTGACAAATAAATATGCTAGTCACATGAAGAACCAAATTCCTTCCTTCTCATTAACCATCTCCTGTGGGAGATCATTCATGATCTCCCACAGGAACATTGTGTTTCAACTGCTATTTCCTTTATCATAGGCCTGCAAACATCTTGGGCTACCCAGAAACAAGTGATGTCTATTGGTCCTATCATTCATGCCTCAGATGGTTATTCTTACTCTGAAGCACTGGTTTACACTAGATGCCTTGGAAGAGATATCTTCATCATGAAAACTCATCAACTCAAAATCAAGGTAATTATTTTATATTTTATTGGAAGTCCAATCCAAACCATTAAAAAAAGTATTACAAAAGAAGGATGCGTTAAATATAATAAATTTTTATTTTTTTACCTTTGGCAATTGAACTATGAGAACAGAATATATGGAAGGAGAAGTGAAATAGATGGTATCCATTGAATTACTCTGTGAGGCTTGCAAAGAGTACGGCACACATTTTTCGGCATAATAAATGTCTGGGATATGAAATGGAAGATGCATCAGAGAAACTCACCATCAGGATTCTCCATGCTTGAGCCAGGTTCTTGTCAGATGTTCCATACCTGCGGAGTGCATATCCTTGAGCCCAATCATATATGTCCACATGAGAATCCCTCCAGGATGTTTCACTCATGAAATCATACACTACATAATTCTGATTTATGCCTTCCATTGTCATCCCAGTCCCTATCATCTCTGCTCCATACTGTCGGCTTTTCACCACACCCTGCAACACATTAAGGCCATTTTTTAAAATTATTTCTTGCTTTATTTTGCTTTTGTTTAACATCCCTTTCAACCCTTTCATTCATCATAATGTTTGTCATTATGGGAATAAGAATGCCTTGATGAATATTCAAAAATACCAGCCTGCTTGGCCTACTTAGTACAGATCCAGTCTGGGGTTAGAGTACTTGGGTACCTTGCTCCAACAAGTGCTTCTTTTCACCTAGTTCCAGAGTAAATATGCTACAAACAAATCTCCACCCTCTTTAAGGGTTATTGTTATTGTGTATTTTAAAAATTTCCTGAGTTTTTTTTATTTTTGCTGAGGTAATAGGCATATTGCGATGGAACACAACTTTCTTAACCCCTGTATAAAAGAAACTCCTAGCTCAACCCATTTTAATACTGCAAGTAGCTTTATCAAATATGTACAATGCTGGTGAAGTTACAAAATAAGGATCACATTAATCCATGCAACATCCTCTTACCAAATTGACACTTTTGAGATCACCATGCATGCCCAAGACTCCACCAAAATCATGAAGCATACACCATATGTATGGTTGGCCAAAAAAGCCATCCAATCTCTCATATTGTGGTGTCACCTCTGCTTGCAGATCCAACACAATTAGGTGGCCCTATGAGAAAATGAGAGGAATAGGTTATGGATTTCAAGGACTGATAGAAATACTGTGCTGGAAGTTCAAAAGGGCATGCAAGCTTTGAAGAAAAAAAAACAAAACAACATCTGACCAAGAATGACATCAGTGATAGTGCTGACAGTAATTTGTAAGTACTATCCCTGTCATCACTCTACCTGGCTGAGAGACTGTTGTTAAACTATGTCTCTCTCAGGAAAACCTGAGAGGCAAAGTTTAATAATTTGAATAGATTTTTCCATTTTGAGAAATTTTGAGCAAAAAAATCAACTCAAACTCAAAGCAAAATTTCCACTAGTGTGATGACAAGGTTTGCCTTTATGCCATCACCAATTGATCTTAAAGGGTATTTCACAGTTAAACATTGATGGAGACTTTTTTTTTTTTCAAGTTATCATGGGCATGAAATTGCAATTGGAGAAGCTCAATGCACAAAATGCCAGAACACGGTATGCATAGAGTAAAACCATCTAAGTTTGGCTTGTAAAGGTTAAACCCCATTCATATCTACTCAATGTGCTCCGAGTCACAAAAAATTAAGCATTCTGCTTGTATCACTGAGGCATGACAAATGAATTATAGGGCTCACCCAGCTTAACTGTCTGAACATAGTAGTTTTACCCTATGTGCCAACTGTCCTTCCAAAAATATGAAAACTTGGTATCATGACAATGCATATCTTGGATTCCATAGAGAACAACATTAGAGAGAGGAACTTACAAGAGGGACAGAAGTGAGAAGAGAATGAGCTCGTCCTTTTGTCCAGTAGGACTCATCATTGAAAAGCCAGCCTTGCAATACCCTACAACAAGAGATGTTGCTCATGAACTCATTGGGAAAAACTATACTGTTCCTATACATAATTTCCAAAGATAATGGATATTGTATATTGCATACTGCTTTAAAAGTCACACAAGAGGGTCCCCAAACCTCAGGTCTTTCTTAAAATAATATTTATCCAATCAATTTCACATCTAATGACAGATTGTGGGTTATTCAATATGGTAGACAGCAGTCAGTTTTGTTTGTGTTTTTTTTTTTGAGCAACAAATATGCAATTTACTACAGCTACAGTACTGAAAATGCTATAGTTTGTCGAAGAATGACTCTCATTTTCATGGGGAAATTTAAAAAACACACTCACAATGCCAGTTGATCGTTTAATTGGTTCATATTCTTTACTGGTCAATTGAACCTTGCAATTTAATGTGAGATGGGGGACTTTTTTTGCTCAAACTTTAGCAGCAAATTTTCCATTAAACTGCTATTTTCCATCAGGACAGTGCATCAGCACACTACACTGTTTTTGGATTGAATTGATACTCCCCTATTGTGGAGGACAGAGAAACCACAAAATTGCAAGTCAATCTGCAAGATGTCAATCATGCTGTCAATGCATGGTTGTCAGGGGTAATTGAGCTTTTGGGATTAGTGTAGAGAAGGAAAGATGCCTTCATTATCTTGGAAATAAAATGAATGTAGTGAATGACCTTGGAAGGAAATTCTCTAGTTCTCAGGATGTCATGCTTCCTTGGCAAAACAGTGTCCCATCCTTGAACATCACTGCAGGCCATCTAACATTGGCTGCATGAAAACAACTGGAGCTTGCAGGTCTCCCAGGAAGAAGAGGCTCCAAGAATCATGCATACTTATAACAATTATAGCAGCATTTCTGATTTACAGGAATTCGTCATCCAAAAACCTCAAGATGACCATATGAATTGAATGCTATTTGTGTTTCATTTTCAGCATAGGAAGAGACAACACTAATGCAGTAAAATGCATTTGATCTCACAGGGAATGAACCCATTAATGCAGACAGAAAAGATGAGGAGAAAAAGTCAACTGAAGCATGGAAACTCTCAGCTTTGCCTCTAATGGCTCAAGGTAGTCTCAATTATTTCCCCTTTCCTTATTCTCTGAAAAACCTTAATTTCTTGCTCTCATTTTTTTCTCTGTTCCTCACTCATAATCCATGTTATGCTTTTTGATAGGTTGACTATTCTGTTTGTTTGTCATCAGATACCCAAATGTCCTCAACAAAAATGACATTTAATAAAGAGGTAAGGATCCAAATCAGCATTGATCATAAGGCAGAGATTCAAACTCAAACAACCCTGCAGGGCTCTCCAGATTGGGAATCAAAGACCCATGAAGGATTATATTAATACTAAACCTTTTACCTGCTAGGTGTCCTGCCTGCACTCAATGGAAACGCTCCCAAGGGGGGTACCAATTCAATCTGAAAACAGTGTAGACTATGAGTGTTCACAAGTTCCTTAACCCTTTGACCAACATGCCTGTAAATTTTACAGGCTCCTGTATAACAGGCGTCTGCCAAACCTGCCAGTCAAAGGGTTGATATCCAAATCTAAGATAGATGTATTGGAAAAGGCTCCAATTTCCTTGCATGGCCTCCATGAAGTCTGAACACCTTTGATAACAGTTATTGGGAAAATCATTAAGGGATATTGCAACTAGCATAGATAAGATTCTGTAGAGGGATTGCACACAAGTGAGTAGCACTAGCAACCATAACAGCATCATGCTTGTTATACTATTGAGCAGCATTAGCAACCATTACAGCATCATGCTCTGTTATATGTCCCAATGAACCTGACATTGAATGCATGTTTGTGGGCACCAAGGAAACCAAATCGACATCAACAATCATCTAACATCCAAGGACTCTTGGCTCCATTTGAATCTTTTTCCAGTCAAAGTGAATGTCTGAGAAGTAAGAGTTCTAATGTGCAAGACATTTAGCAGATGAAGGAGGGAGACAAGAAATGAAGGAAAAAAAGCTCACCAGATTGCAGATGAATCAGCCAGAGTCATTGATAGAAAGATGCTTTTCCCCACTGATTTCAGATACGTATCTGAATCTGAAGAGGGTTGCATCTCATTGAATGGGTCACAGTTGTAGGCATGATCTGTTCCATTGTAAGTCTCCCTTTGCTGAAAAAAAAAATAAATGCAAAAAAACCCATAAACAGGGTTGATAACTTGCAGGTTTTAATCTAAGATTCTGGGTAGTAAAGAATTGAGAACATGGCTTTCATTTCATTCATTCACAAGCAGAGGGTATAAGGCTTCAATGAGGCTCTTTTAATTATTTTATTTACCACTTCATGAGTTCAGTTTGGTATGAAAATGTGACAGGTAAGAGCAGGGCACAACTTTCTTTGGTGATGGTCATGCTCCTTTTCCTGCAAGGGCTTGGCTTCTTGCAGAAACACAAAAAATTTGTTCTGCCTGCCTGTTTGCTGCTATAATGATGAGACTAGGATATGGACATCCCTATTTTGTACCTATAACACAAAACCTTTCACAATGAGAATGACGGAATAGCTGATGGGTTGAAGGTGATGGGACTGTAAGATACCATGGGAAAACTAAAATGGAGAACAATATATATTTACTGATGAACTTGAGCATAATGAGAAAAGGACAAATTCACATAGTAATATTCAGGAGTTGGAGCAAAAATGCATGATGTTTAGATATTTGCACATAACTACATCAACAAATTTGTGATTTAGTGCATTTGGTTTATTATAGCCATTCTGGAATACAAGTGGGAAGCTTAGGTCTTTAGTGAATGCTCAAGCAAAGTTATACATCTGGAAACTGGTTTGTTGGTCGAGTGATTCTGGGTTCTGAGTGAAACCTGGGAGGTGAGGAATCGAGTATGGGTGGCAGTGGGCCATTCCTTCTCTGAAAGGTGACCCACCTGCTTTCGTGGGGAGTGTCTGCTAGTGTGGGATAATACATATGACACTCTGTGTGCCACATTTAAGAGATACAGGTGCAGTACACCTTAAAAACCACTCAAGCCAGTCATGGGTTTAGGTAAATAGAAATGAGAAAAATATGAATTATTGTGATGCAACATTGTCAGAAAAGAAATGCTACCTCACCCAACCCTTCACTTAGATAATAATATCCTATAAAGTCAGGGTGACAGGGAATGGTCAAACCATCAGGGTTCAGATCTGAAAGCTACAAAGCTCACCTCTTGGATGAATGCTGAGCCAAGCTTGGTAAACAGTGGGTCTGTTGGATCTAGAACCATAACACTAGAAGCAAAAGGACAAATGGTGATCAAGAGCTCTCAAATAAAATTTTAAAAAGCTTATTCACTTAGTCACTTCCTGAGAAAATCATCCAGTGTGCAAAGCATATAATGCTTTTCTTGACTTCATTATTTACAGGAGCATCCTCTTCACCCTAAAGGTAGCCATGAGAGCTAACACTGATGCAGTTAGGTTTCACAGAATATTATCATAAAGTTCAGGGGACAGTCTAATAGCATTTGTCCCTAAGCTTGACAGTGATAAGTTTGCATTATTTTAGGCTCAGTTTCCTTCAAGATGCAAAGCACCTGTTCACAAATCATTGTAACCTAATTTGCTTAAGCTCAACACACCTCCTGGAAGTGTTTAAGTTCAACAGGTATACAGTGTGATTCAAAAGTAGCTTTACAACTTTCATAGCTTATAACTTCATGTGCCATCGTTACAGTGCAATGAAAGTGGTATTGAAACAAAGGTACAGACTTCAAGTTTTATAACCTGTAATTACCACACCTTGATGTGACTACCAGAAATGATGTGGTAAATATCCCAGCACTACTCAGTCTCATCCCATACATGTTGCTGTATGTCCAGTGTAACTCTAGTAGTCGCCGAAGTGATCCTTTCCTTCAGTTCTAGCACATTTGATGCCAGTGGTGGCTGGCAGGCCTTGTCCTTGATAAAACCTTGCAAGTGAAAATCCAGCAAAGAAATATTTTTAAAAAGTCACCAAACATCATAAGAAAAAGTGTTGTGGCATATCTGGAGACTCTTAATATAATACTGGACTTTTTATTGTGGGGTTTTATCAAGGACAAGGTCTGCCAGCCACCATTGGCATCAAATGTGCTAGAACTGAAGGAAAGGATCACTGCAGCAACTGCCAGAGTCACACTGGACATACAGCAATGGGTATGGGATTAGATCAAGTATTGCCAGAATATCTGCCACAAAGTAGTGTACCCAGGAAATCTGTATGGGGGGGGGGGGGTTATGACCCCCAAAACCCCCCCTTGGGCAAGCCACTGCTGCCACTGCACTTCTGGTCATCACATTGAATTGTGGTAATTGCAGGTAATAAAACTTGAAGTCTATACCTTTGTTTCAATACCACTTTCATTGTCTTATTACAAAGGCACGCAAAGATATAAGCCACAGAAGTTGTAAAGCTACTTTTGAATCACACTGTACTTTCGATTCTTGTAGCTCAACACTATGAGACAAGCTTTCACATCCCAGTCAAGTCATATGATCTATGGGGAGAGCAATATGGATATTGTGTTGTAAATGCAGCCAGAAAATCAGAAGTACCCCTCATTCCCTGAGCTGGAGTCATGGAAACTCAAAGTGAGCAATCTCACTGCCAAGCTAAAAACTTTGAGAGCATGTTGCTAGATTTTCGGAGTTTCCAGGGTGACTTTTCAGGCCACTGTGCATATCAAGTGGTAACTGTAATACACTGTGACACTAACTTTGTGAAGAGATGAAATAAAGAGTTAAACATATGACCATCTGGGTTTTGTTAATTATAGGGTCAAATGGTTGAATGGGAGAGTTATTCCATGCAACACAAGAAAGTAAACAGTTTGAATGCCCATTTTGCTGACTAAACAATTTCTTCTACCTCATCAGTCTCTACATCATAAATCTGGGGAAGCAGTTTGAAATCATTTTCATCAACTGCCCTTGCTAACTTGTCACAAGTTTTAACATAATGAAGGGTGTTTCCCACCTCACCCATTTTGCAACATGTGTGGCATTCCAGTCCATTCTAAAGTTTGCCCAAGTCTGTAATTAGCTAACCACTAGGTGGTGATTGGTACTTAGTTCAGCTCCACACTTTACCTTCATATCTGTTGCCTGGTTCCACATGTCAGTAGAACAATTACAGTCTATTGGCAATGGTTGACACAATATCAGTCCAATTGTCAAACCATCTGCCAGATATACTACTGGCAGTGACAGCTTATCAGGGGATGTGAGGGAGGCCAGGTCTCCATGAAGATTCTATGTTCCATCGTTCGTTCTTTTTTCTCATTTTCCCCTTCGTGTCTCACTCATATGGGCATTGACAGACTGAATCAAGGCAAATAAACTGATTGATTGAGTGCTACAACCATAGCTTCCTCCACCACTTCTGTGGAGGAAAAACAGCATCCCTTCAGGCATTTCTTCATTCTTGGGAAAAAGTAAAAGTCGCATGGTGAAAGGTCTGGGGAGTAGGGGGGAAGTGCCATCAATTGTGCCAGTGTGTCAAGTAACAGCTCACCATCAGCAATCTGTGCATTGGTGTGCTGTCGTGGAGGATCCAATTCTTGCTGCCCACATCTGTGGTCATTTCCTCCAGATTACTTCTCAGGGACACAGCTGCACATCTATGTACATCTCTTTATTCACCGTTCTTCCCTCCGAAATGAACTCATGATGGACAATATCCTAGTGGTGGAAGAACACCTCCAACAATACCTTCCCCTTGGAGCGATCTTAGCAGATCTTCTTGGGATGCAAGATTGTATTGTCCCCATATGCCTGTCTCAGCATTCCAAAGGTCTCTGCAGCTGTTTTACCCAGTCTCTGGCAAAATTTCACAGTAGCACACTGCTCAAAACATGACATCTTTACAAGGTGAATGCAGACTGCCAACTGACAGCTGAGGAGTTGCACGTGGAGAAACCCAGTGATTGCCACGTTAGGTTCAGCACATGCACTCTTGATATGCACATAGTGTGGAACCATAACCATGCTCAGCAATATTTGTTTTTGGTGGGCAACACAGCATTCGGTCATGGTGACCCAAGTCTCGAAGCATTTTTAACCTAGTAGTATGTCTAATGAACAAGATTAACATTTTTCTGAATTTGATAATTATCCTGTATATTGTGAGAGGTGAGAAATGTGACAGGAACATTATTCATTTCAACAATTTCAAAACTGCACAGGTGTATGCATACAATTATGAGCAATGGAATACCCAAGCCTGTCTGGATGACTATGGCAACAGTCACAGCCATCTGGATGTGCATCCTTCTCTTTTTTCTCATCCACAATCTTCAAGTCAGGTGATTCTGTGGTTGTTGTTGACAATGTGACAGAAAACTGGGACAGCCCATAAGAAGCAAAGATTTTACCAATGATATGCTCTACTCCACAGTGTCAAGTTGAGTCAGCACCTTACACCTCTGATTGGAAGTCATCTGGATGGATTCAGCCTTTCTTCAGAATTCAGAAAAATGGACATAAACATCAAGAACTCACCAGGAGTAGTCAGAGCAGTTGAAACCTGCCCATGGGCCTAATTGGTGGACTTTGGCATCTGGGAACACCCTAAAAAAAATTAAGAACATTAGAGATACTTAGTGTGAACAGTGCTCTCTTTTTTGTAGCATACAGAGAGACAAAATATTTTGGGCAATTTCACACCAGTAATTCTGATTCCTTGAAATGCAATAAAGCAAAAATTTGTGCTAAATTCAGAGTTTCTCATTCCTTTCAGAATAACTGAATATGCCAAAATTGCTATCAGGCAAAGAACACAAGAAATTCCTCTGGATTGTGATCCTCAATCTGAGAAACACTTTTCTAAGGGGCAATGGAGAGAGGGGTAGCCATTAAGTATGGAACACCACTGAATAACTTCCAATAAGTATAATGGTATGGTCGACAAGGTCAAATGCTTTATCCCCTTAACTAGCAAGCCTGAGAATTTCTTGGATTGGTGTAGTCCTAGGGAAATTAGTTGCAACTCCTGCAATGACTCTCATTCTATGAGTGGTGACTCCCTGTTTTTCAGTGCAAATTTTAGTGAATAGATATTGATAGTTAACTTACAATGTCAATGCTTAACTTAAGGGCGCCCAAAAAAACCTGCAGATGAGGGGTACTGCATTGCTGGAAAACCAGCCAGTGAAGGGGTTAAACTACAGGGCGTTTCATTTAAATTGTACATCTTTGAACGCTCATATCTCTGAGAGGACGCAACCGTTCTTTACTAAATTTGACCACAATATAGAGTGACCTTTGTCAAATTATTGGACAGAGTTTCTTAATCGCAGCGCCATCTATTGAGTTGAAACACCTCACAGAGGCCAACCGGAATGCCGGGTCTGAGAGAATCGGGCTTGAGCTCGGGATATCCAAAACATCAGCGTGGAGGATACTCAAGAAGGATCTGAAGTTCAAACCCTATCATTTAAAGCTTCTTCATTAACTTAATTAGGATGACTTTGACCGTCGGGTCGAATTTTCAGAACTCTTTCTTGAAAGTGACCAGGCTGATCCCTCATGGAAAGACAACATTCTTTGGAGTGATGAGGCGATATTCAGCCTGGCTGAAACGGTCAACCGCCACAATTGTGTTTATTGCTACTCAAAAAACCCCATTGGATACGTTGAGGCAGACAATTTGGGCGCACAAAGGGTGATGGTTTGGCGGGGGTATCTTCGACCAGAAAGGTTGGACCGATATTCTCTGATCAGTCGATAGCAGGTGCCACCTACCTGCGAATGCTGAGCGAAGAGATCCTTCCTGTGTTTTCCCAATGGGAGGAATTTGAACGCCTCACCTTCCAACAAGGTGGCGCTCCTCCCCATTACGCTCAAACAGTTCGAAATTTTCTGGATGAAACCTTTCAGGAATGGATTGGTCGTCGTGGAACCATCACCTTCCAACAATATGGCGCTCCTCCCCATTACGCTCAAACAGTTCGAAATTATCTGGATGAAACCTTTCAGGAATGGATTGGTCGTCGTGGAACCATCGAATGGCCAGCAAGATCTCCAGATTTGACTCCCCTTGATTTCTTCCTCTGGGGATATCTCGGGTTTTCGCCCGTTCTCCTCGGAAAATCTATCGCATAATGCATACAGCTAGGCAACAGGTGGGAAAGAGTCTCTGGAGCTCTACCGCACGGCCGACAGGTGGAATCTATGTCTTTCCAAAGATGGTTCCTCAGTACTCGAGAGTACTGATAACGCTGTCCTGATTAGCTGCGATAAATCCTTCTATGATCGAAGGCCAGCAGATTTCAGCCAAGCATGGCTGAGAGTAGAGGAGAGACCAATATCTTTTACATTTCGGAAGAAACATCCGTGCAATGACTTTCCTCATGGACCTGCAAAAGATGGGCTTGCTGGGCCCTTGTTGTTGCTGCGCTGACATAGGCTGATGTAATCAACTCCACCAACGCTTACTGATGCAGACAGATGATAACAAGGCAGTCTTCTCTGCCCCAAGGGAGCAGAGAATAAAGAAAAAATATCCTCTCCTTGATGATATATTAGGTTGTTCCGAAATAAATGTCCGATTTTCGAAGTGTAATGTTTTGTCTATCATTATACCTGTAAATTTTGCGATAACCAGTTATTGTTATATACCGTTTTTTTCAGCAAACCTTTCTCTTAAGAAACTCTGTCCAATAATTTGGCAACGGTTGCTCTATATTGTGGTCAAATTTTGTAAAGAACGGTTGCGTCCTCTCAGAGATATGAGCGTTCAAAGATGTACAATTTAAATGAAACGCCCTGTAGTTCACTATCAAAGTGAGTGAAAGTGATGTAAGTCACATACCAGATAGTGGGGGGTAGACAATCCTTTCTCTTTAGCACTAGGGAGTGGATTTTTATGTAAGTACATACAGTCGAACTCTGTTATAACGAAACCTCGGTTATAACAACAAAAGTGCCACGTCCCGGCGTAGAGCCCATAAGGCACGTTACAATTTACCTTGGTTATAGCGAACTCGGTTATAACGAAGTCTATTGAAGGTCTCACAGACGAAATCGACAACGTTTATGTCCCTAATCCATCATTCTTAACTGAAATTTCTGTCATCGGAAAAATTAGGGTTGGTGAGCCATAACTTTATATTTCGTGGATTCAGCATTCCTTGAGAGTCATGTGGGTGTGGCTGGAGCAATGTTAGGGAGGGATAATCCCCAGTAACTAAGATCACCTTATCTTAAGTCACCATTTGCATTTCTCGTTGACAACATGGCCAATGGAAAACAAAAGAGGCAAGCCTTCACGATTGAAAGGAAAGTGTGCTTGATTAGTTTAATAGAAAGAGCTCAAAGTGAAGCTAATGTCGCTCGTGAACATGGACATTGTTCATCTGTTTCCACAATTTGGGAAAATCGTGAAAGCTTCATCCGTGCTTACGAGAACATGTCACAAAACAAGAAACTTCCTAGGTCTGTCGAGATGACATTGACGAAGCCTTGCTAAAGTATAATGTAGTTCAAGGTCCAAAGAAGTGCGAACATCGCGATTAGTGGGTCAATCTTATCTTGAAACTGAAGCTAGTGTAGTATGTCCAATGTAAACTTGGAGTTGTAACATTATATAGCATCAATTTTGAAAACAGGAAAACGGAGTGCCAATAAAGGCAACCTCAGTTATAATGAACCTCAGTTATAACAACAGTTTTTACCTGGTCCCTTCGATGACGTTATAACTGAGTTCGACTGTATTATTTTCTGCAGCCTTGTAGGAGCATGCAACACAGATAGGAGCATGTTTTAATAACCCTTTCACTGCTTCATTCTTTTTCTTCACACATCCCCTTGAACATTTTTTCACTTTCATGCATATTCCATGTATATCTTATTTAAGCATTTTGAATTCATATTTTTACCTTTATAAATTCATATTTTTGGGCTTAGGGAAAAAAAATTGGTTTCCTACTTATATTGACCAGGTTCCAAGTCTGACATGATTCCAGCCAACTGCTCAAGTTTCCCAGAAAGCTGTTGATCTAACTTGGGTTAATCATGCTAGTGATCCGAGTTCTGCAAGTTTTCTGGGCTAGCGCTTCCTGGCTGCATTAAACTGGAATGGTGTTACCAGTTGGAAATATGAATGTGAAATGGCTTGTACCTATGGTATACCTCTGAAAATCTATGATTGGCAAGAGGGGTAAACAACCATCCTTTTCATGGAAGGTTGATTATAGATTGGTGCAAGTACAAAATTTATGTAATCTCCACGAAAGGAATCCACAACATAATTGGCAATGCTGGAGTCACTCAAGAAGCTGTGCTAAAAGGAAGAGAAAAGGCATCTAAATCACATTCAGCACCCAAGTGAAATTCAGAGACCATTAAAATAGTCAGCCAACTTGTCCAGAAAGAAAACCCGCTGACACCAAGAGGTCTTGCCAACAAGTAGTATGTTTGCCCTATGATCTACAAATTTGTCGTCAAAGACCTCAGGCTAGAAAAGAAGCACAAGCCCTATATTAAAAAATTGCAACCTAGTCTTTTTAGAGGGAAAGAACTGTAGAAACCTCTATGAGGACCAACTAGCTGGAAATAGGTAGTCACCCTAGATGAAGCATGGGTTTTCACAAGTGGCGCAAGCCAAGTTCAAGCCATTTACCTCTTCCTCTTGGTGATAAGCCATTCAAAAAGTGGTACCTGGAGTGGAAATAAAGCTTTTTTACTTGGATTCAGGATTGTTGCTGGCATCTTCTGCCAATATAACCAGGAACACATTTTTGAGGCCAATCTTTGGAAAGGGAATTTCCTGCCCACCTGCATGGAACAGAGAGTCCAGAGGTCTCTGTGCATATGAGGTATTATGGAGTTTTGGTAACCCATTCTTTAGAAGACAACAAAGGATGTAGAACAGATGACATCATAGATGGCATCATCTGCAGTTTTATAATGAATGAGGAAGGCCTTTAAGATGTAGTGGGCTCCTCCAGCCTTTCTCTGAGAAATGTGATCGCAATGCAAAGATCCACTAATCAGGAACAACTTGATAATTGTGTGAGCTTTGGTACAACATTCTATGATTCATTTCAGTCAGTCCTCATTAGGATGGCAGAGGATTCCCTGTTTTGCTGAAATTGACCCCTAATCTAATAAAAATTCTGATCTAATCACACAGTCAAAGGCCTTCCCGTTACCCCAAGGAATGAGATACTATGAACCTTTTTACTGTAAAATGTGCAAAATTTCCATTTTTCCAAGATCCAAATATGACCTTCAAGATTTTCTAGACAACCCATTTGGTGGATGGCATGTAATCAGTATATTTCTAACAGATACAACAAACAATGGAGTGTCTCCCTGTCTGTTGCCTAAGTTCAGCTGAAAGGCTCTGAAATTCCTTGTGAAAGCTATTGCAATACTCAAAATCTGGTGGAAAATGAATTAAAATTGAATACCTAGGGATTTGCAAGTTTACTAGGTTGAACCATGGCTGTGTATGACTGAGCCAAGGATGCCCTCAGATTGGTTTTCATTTGGGCATCATCTGCACTGAAATCTGTGCAGGTTGTTCATTCCAGATCAAAATCGCATGGCCAAATTGCCATTAAAAAATCTGGAACTTGGACACCTAATAATACGTTTACATTTCCGTCCTCAAAAACAGGTAACCAAAACTTTCAATCAAGTCATGTATGCAAGACAACTGCTGACTTTTCAGTGAAATGGAAGAAGCCATAGGATTAACAACACCATTCACAGGCATTCCTGACAACCCCAGAAGTAGCACCAATGACTTTTGTACCTTTGGTTTACAGAAGCAAGCCTTGGGAAATTAGTCACCTCACACTTTGGATGGTTTCTGGAAAGTGTGCAAGGAGGAATGGGAGCATTGGATCTGACTGCACTTCAAGGGGAACTTGCTGTCTTGGAAGGTTCAATGCACATCTATTGTCAAGAACCATGCATTCTAGATGGAGCATAATTAGGAATGGAGGGGGAGACCCTAAGGCATGCATATCAGATAAAATATGTCTCCATAAACAACCTTCTGCATTGGAATTTTCCATACATTTAGAATTTGTCTTTTTTTAAATTATAAGATAGTGATATTTGAGGAATATTCACTTTAGTACCATGGATGCCAGATCCTTCCTGATGCAGAGTCAACTATTAACCTCAATTACCTTTTCATTGTTCCTTAATGCAGTTGACTCTTGTTATACACAGGGGTTGCATGCCTGAAAATAGCTGTATAAATTGAATCCGTGTAAAACAGAAAACTTATAACATGTAATAATAGGGGTTGCATTCCGAAACATGCAAGATTTAGATCTTTCAAGATTAAATTAATTAATGGAATGCAACTCCCATGTATAACAAGAGTCAACTGTATTTCATTAGTATTCTTCAATACTTTCTGACAAAGGAAAAAAAAAAGTCATTGTTCACCTAAAAATTTTCAGTATCATATAGGCCTATTTGTCAAATTACTGACAATATGGTCATGCAATAGAGGATTCAAGTCAGAGCCAGGCAAAAGAAAAAGAAACAGCTTTACAGGGAGGCTTTCTTTACAATGTTCGATTTTAGGGTGCAGTGGATTAGTCTTGGAAGCGCTCTACTGAGTTCCAGACTGGCTTGAATTACCTTAAGTGGAAATGTAACTTCTCACCTTGTCAAGGCATGAGGTATGTGACCTGCAAAGGCTGGCAGAATTGGTATCATCCCCAAATCCCTCATTGCAGCTACAATTTGTTGGTTCAGGTGAAGCTGTTGTTCATACCACTTTCTTGGTAAAGGTCCTCCCCATCCTTGGAGATTACCCATCCTTCCCCTGAAGAAAATGGTAAGACCCATGAAAACTCAGAAAGGGATGAGATAAGAAAAAATAATAATTACAACCAGCAATACAGTATTCTGTTGAATGACTGCATCAAGTCCTGGATCTCTTGGAAATGTACCAATCTAGTTTTGAAGATATGACATGAACATAAGGTTAAAAATGCTCTAGACCAGTGGTTCTCAACCTGGGAGGTGTCACCCCCCAAATGCATGAAGGTTCAATGGGAGTAAAAGGAAGGTTGAGAACCACTGCTCTAGACACTGGTTTTGGCATGAGAGTATGACACTGTAATAAAATTATTGCTTCATAGCATAATGCAAGAGACAATGAAAAAATGACCTCCATGAAAAACCTTCCACTTCTCCTCTCCTGTACCCCATATCCCTGCAGCTATAACAATTTGCTGGAAAACATGAATTCCTAGCAAAGAATTGGGTCTGAAATAATATAAATTACCTCTCTAAATTGAAAATAAAGCACTGCTCAAAATTTCTGCACTGGATCCCACACAGATTTCTAGATCAGTGGGTCCCTTCTAATGATACTACATATCCACCAGAAGTCAGCATAAAAACACTCAATAATCATAAATAAGCTTTTCTCAAGAATATATTGAAACTCCAGATATCTTCAAGGGACCCTGTATTTTGTGAGCAGTACAGTACTTTTGTTACCAAAATAACCATCAAATTAATACTAATGAGTTAAACTAAAAATGTTCAATGCAAGCAAAATATGCAGAGGAAATATCCAAGTATGCAGGAAAACTGATATGATGCTTTGGAATAATTCACTTTGGACTTGACTGATAACCATATGACTCTGTTAATATGGAACCCCATCAAATTAGCAGCATGGTGATTCAAGAATGAGGGTTATGTGCTATGTAGAAAGTAGACCCACAAAAAAAAACAATATGTTAAATTTTTACTGAGAGACACATTCAGAGGGCATCAGGTGGTAAAAGCCCTTTCCCATGGACTTGCAGTATTCTCTTTGACCTTCAGATGATACTTCCTTTTCACCAATTCAAGAAAGGGTTAAAGGAAGCACCACTGGGAGAAACAAGAAAGCAGCAAATTTATTGCAAGTCCAAAGTTCACAGGAAACTGCCAAAGAACAATTTTGTAACAAATGAGACTATGTTCAGCTTGCTTTGTTTTCTTAGCCTTTTTTTTCCAATTCTTTTTAGTGGGCCTCCTTTTCTGAAAGGAAAGAGACCACTTATGGTCTTGTCCTGTCCATCTGTGTGTCACACTTTGGTTGTCTGATGATAACTAATAAAATATTGGCCTGGTCAATGGGAAAATTGGCAAGCAGATAGATATGAACAACATACAGGCTGAGTTTGTTTTGTGATGAATTTGCAACAAAATTGGCATTTTTATTGCAAATTTTGGATGTTAAATTTGGTCATGGAGGGGAAGGCATGAGTACCTGTGAGCCCTTCAGGTTCTGGACCACAATGTGCATGCGCTTACAATCCAGGCTTTGGGTGTAGCGCCATGTCAGCAACTAGAGCTGTTAGTTCCCTACCAACCTTCGTGGCGAATGGATCCAACCACGCGCAGCCCTCCATCCTCCCATCACCATTTAGTGGGCACCATTTGTCTGTTTACCAAATATAAATGAGAAATTAAGTTTTTGATGGTTGAAGACTGGCAAGATATGGCATTTTGTTCAATTAGGTGACAAAATGAGGATTTCCTTAACTGAAAGGAGGCCCACTACTGGACTGGGCTTGCCCAACTTGTTTCTTTTACATCAGAGAAAAAATGAAGATTGCGAGATAAAGCTTCCTTTACCTTATTCTCCTCCAATGAATTAAATGAAAATGAATTAAAGCAATGCCATCTAGTTTTAAATCTTCAGATTCTATCCCCAACTATCAGGATGGTAGTGGAGGCATCAAATAATTAAATGAGAAGATTAGGTTGAATAATCACCTAATAAGAAGCACAATAGTGTAAACTCTTCAACAAGTCAAGTCTTCCTAGCTGATGATGGAAAAAGGAGGTCTGTGACAAAATATTCTGAATGGTCCCCCAGTTTCATCATTTGAATCAGGAGAAACAACTACCAGAAACTAATACTACATACAACCATGTACAAGAGGAAGTGTTTAACCTGAGACTAAGAATAGATACATATGACATGAAAGAATAAACAAATGCAGAAACAAATTATGACCAACCATGCAAGGAATGCTGGGCCTGTGAAGAATGAATCCAATTCTTTTTGAGTTAAGCCAAGAGAGAGATAAATCTTCCTCCAAATTGTCTCTTGTCCATTGAATGCCAGTGGAAAGTTGATTCCATTCAAGGCCATCCAGTCGATATGCTTCTGCCACTCTTCCCATCCCCACCAAACATATGAGTAGCTCCATGTGCAAACATTTGAGAAATATCTGAACCTATGAATAGAAGCCATCACACATTACACCATAGAACTTTCCCAAGTAACTGATGAGTAGTCCCAAAAAGGTGACAAAACTCTGCCTACTTGAAAATCTCATTCTAACTAGCTTTCTTTCTCTAAGATGGCATTGACCTCCATGAGTTCACATGCTTAGCAACAATATAGCTGATCTTAACCAACTGATCCTCAGGTTTTAGCTTGGGATTATCCTCCTTAACTTATCTTCATTCATTCAAGTCCAACAAGGTCAACATCTAAACAAATTCAGAATAAAAGTTTCAGACATAGCCTTTAACCTAGTAAAATGCTGGTATTTGAATTTATTGAATAACCAACTTCAAGCAGCATTGACTCATTACTGATAGAAGCATATGGGCAGTTACTGACATAGCACCAGACTTGAAATGAAAAAGTATTATGGTATATCTTGAAGATGGTTTGACCCAGAAATTTTTATTCAGCAATGCCTTATAGAACATAGATACTTGTGCCTATTCCAATAAAAAATTTCTGATTTCTCCCATGGATGAAGAAAATTCAGACCATTCATTTCATGTTACTGATGAAACAGTCAAGACAACAGATTTTGTTCAGTTGCTTATCTTATAATTCTGTCTGATTTGGCTTGACCTGGGACTTCCATATTTTCAAAATGGAAGACATAACCGTTCCTTGTACTAAATGATATTGTTTGTTGACCAAATTAAATGGCTAGGAGAGTTTTCCAGTGCTACTGACGTAACAAAATTATCCATAATAAGGTTCATGAAGCAAGTATTAAATTGATCAAAATGGAGTATTGCAGGGGGAACGAATAACCACCTCATGGCAGGTGATGCATTTTTAGTGGATCCCTTATTTAGTCTAAGTTTAGTATCGATACAATGCAGAAACATTAAGTTATAGGGAATTTTTGGAAAAAATTTTAATACAACTTTTGTCCCAATTACTCTGGAACTGCCCATGTCTGCTTTCTAAATGGCAACTTCTTCAACAATCCTAAAGCATTTCCATTACATCTCCATGTGGAAAGAGATGCCATCAGTAGAGCACTATGAGCTTGCTTCCTTGTAACAAGATATCTCAGCAGCTACTTGGAACGGGAGAGGATTCTTCCTGTCTGTTTGTAATGTCAGCATATAACTGAGTAGAGACAAAGTTTCATGTGTTGTTGGAATGAATTTTGTGTGTCAGGTTAATGATATTAGACAGTATTCCATGGAGTCCTAGAGACCAACTGAATGACTGTTCAGAGATAGTAGGCCTTCCACAACTCACTTGTCTTGAGCAGAGACTTTGAGCTGTACTGGAGGTAGTTTCTCAGGAACCTGAAGTTGCTCCACTTCCCAGGATATATGGACATTGCAGAAATATTTGAGATAATGGTTGAAACCAAATGCAGCTGCAACCCCTGAACTTCCAGTCACTTTCAGCTTTTCCTCCTCACTGCTTTTCTCCAACTTTACATAATTTCATCAGAATGTAGATGGCCCATGCAGGCACTTCATACAGGAACTGCCTATGATGACTCCATATCTATTATATTTCATATTTTTTTCTGATGAGTGATTCTGCCCTGAATGTTTATTTGTACCCATGAGATGCTAATATATTTATAGCAATTAAAACCAATGCCAAAAATGTATCAGATAATATTATTATTGCAGCAAGAGCCAATGAGAAGAAACTTACAAGAACAATTTTTTTTATAGTCCCAATATGCTATTTCTGGAACATGAAAGCAATAGGCCTACTTATAGCAGGAAGCCAGATGAAATCATAGGAATGCAACTTCCAAAATGCAAAGTTATTACTCTTTCTTTTTGTTTATAAATAATGGGATTTAAAATAGTTTCAAACAGACAAGCTGTAAGCTAATTTAACTTGAACTGGAGAGACTGTTCTAATAGAAGTCCAAGATCTAGCAAAAATGTTCAAGTGGTCTTTGTATCTCTCACTGTCTCACCATTGAATTAATCAGGGAAGCCCAAAAACAATCTCCCCAAAATGGTGATTTTTGCCAAAGGGCCAATGTGATCAGAGCATGAGAAATCACCCCAAGAAGTGGAGACCACTTCAAAACTGGTTAAGCAACTTGACAAAGCATCATCTTATTGTCAATGGTCAACATCAAGTATGTTCGCGGTCATCCTCTTCCATCTTCCTTTTTCTCAATGCCAGAATTCAACTCAGAATGAATCTGCTGCACTCGGCAAAGTGTGACAGCATGTGGCCATGCAGTGATGATAAACTCATGTCTGCATTGCAGTAAAATAATTCCTTCTGCATCTTTCAATAAAAAATTGAAGAGCAGTTTTGTCGTATTCCATTGTGTGACAGATAACAGAATTACAATTTTGGCTGACACACAGAACTGAACTTAAAAACAGGAAATTGTTGAAATTCTGCCTATAAATAGCTTATGTGTCCAAAAATAGATCCCTGAAATTTGATTGGGTAAAACCTCTTAATAGTCATTTTATGGCAAAGTGAAATTATTTATGGTGTGAACCTTGCACACGTGAAACCCAGTTATTTTCCAGCTGATATCTTATATGGTGTTCTATCTTCAACCACAGAAAGTTGAGAAAATTTGTTGGGCCACCTGGTAGTCACATTATGTACCCCTCAAGGATTATTTCGATCCTTACTGCCTGTTTCTTTCCTTGTCTTTTTTATATACATATATTTATTTATAAACTTTTTTGTCTTCAAATTTGTTTGCCAACCTTATCCTTTCTTTATATTGCACTTTTCCCTTGTTTTCCATGGCAAGATGAAGAAAACAGATAGAAGCTTGAACAGCAGGATCCAGCAAGGAGATAGGACCATTTGCCAGGTATACCTTGAATGTATCTGTCCTCGATGGACCCAAAGAAGGGTCAATCACCACTTGTACCTCCTGACTGCGATGGCCCAAGATCCGATGAATCAATGCCTCAACTGCTGCCTGCTGCACATCTTTATTTGCAGATGGCCTCAAGTTTTCATATGCTGCTGCCTCAGCTACTGATGAAAAAACATACAAAAAATAAAACTAAGTGAGAAAATATCTATTGCAAAGAGGGGCCTGAAGCTTATCCATAATGAACAAGCCATTTGCAGGTAAGTAAGGATTTACTTTCATCATTTTGAGACTTTGAAAGTATACTGCATATGCATCAGTAGCCTGCATACAAAGCATTGCCACTTCTCTTTTTCAATGAAGCAACAAAGGAAACTATCAGCTTGGGGTACAGGCAATCTAAAATCCAAAATGCCTGTAAAATCCCAGAAAAATCCACTCATGAATTTTTATGGCAATGAATATTTTGAAAAACATCTAGAAGGCTTGGTTCACCTCATCCAAAAGTGAAACATGCTCACTGAATTTCCAAATTGAAACAAAATTTCCAACATAAAAATAGAACACTTGATTTGACACATTAGCCACAATACAAACCCTGAACATCACCATGTGAGTCATAACTTCCCCTTTCTTGGTTAGCACACATTTCCTCTGGCTTTTAGACAATGCCTAGAGATTGCATATGCTTTCTATAGCAATGGCTTCTTGCTATGGTGTTTTCAGACATTCCAAGGAACCCAAAGCTTCAGAAAAACAAAAAAAATTCTGGAGCAGTCCAGGAGTCATTGTTGCATGAGCTGCATGCCATCCTGGATATTTCCAAGCAATCACACAAAAGTACTAACATCAAATTCCAAAATACATTTTTGAAAACTGAGAGTTCCAATGAGCTTCTAATGAGTGGGGATTGCCTTTTCTTCAAACTCCAAGCCCCAATCACAGTAAACACCATATAACTGGAAAGTTCTCTTTATCTTCCTTTGTTCCATGGGCAATACATGAGTTTTGCATGAGTCTCAACAGGGTGATGAGGAAAAAAAATTGGGTGATCTCATTTCCTACTTCCCCACTACTCATGTTTCCTTAGAATGCTGTGCAATGAATAAAGATGCAGGTAATTGCCAATTGTGAGAATACAACAGCATGCCTATAATGCTAATTATTACTAAATATAGTGGCACTGAATGATTAAAGGTTCATCTCATCCTTGAATTACCTCACAAAATGTAAAGTAATGGGGAAAAGTCAGGATTCATATAATTATTGTGCATGGATTATATCCAGCTCAGACTGTCTAAAACTCAACCAATCACCAGATAAGATATGGTAGACTTAATGACTGAGTTATCTCAATTACAAAATTAGGCCAAAGTGGCTTGAAGTGACTCAAATCTAACCATTGATACAACTTAACTCTGGATATCTAAGGATTATCCAAGCTGAGATACTGTCACTCCCAAGTTACATCTATCTATGCAACTGTTGGAATGAATTAGGGCTGTACCAGTGGGTCACTTTTGGCCAATGGGCCAGAGGCTAATTATATCATACTAATCAACCAGTGATGCTGATTGCGAGATATTGATGAGGAATTGAAATTTATGGTATCAAATTCTCATTTAAATAGACCAATTATGAAGCTATGTACAACTTTTTTTTTGACACTGTCATGATGACTCCTTTGAAAGCATAGATGTATCAACCTGAACTGTTGATGGCACATTGATAGACTACATTGGGGGGGGGGCAGGTTCAGTCACCTCACATCTCAATCAGGTGGAGGTATGATTGTTTCTTTCTCCAGTGTTTCTTGCCAAGATTGGAGCACAGACCTCCTTTTATCATCACCTCATATCCATGATTGTGGTGGAAAGGAGGTGGTGTGACCATTGTGATGGGAAATAAAGTCATCAATGCCTCCAACTATCCATAGTGACATCATTACATCATGAAAACCCTGCTCTTTGCCATTTCCAGTTGAAAATCATTCACTGTTGCATGTTCACATGGTTTTTATTTTTATTAACCCTTTGTACTCATCTGTTGTGTTCTTCCCCACTTTGTATATTTCCTCTTGTTATCATATGTTGGGAGACACTTGCCACATGTTTTAGCTCACTGGATCAAGTTTCAGGTGTCCCTTGAAAAATCTTAAAAGCTGCCATATGTTGACTGAATCTTTGAACTACATCTAGTTTTTAGCACAAGTCAGTAGCTCAACTTCTAGTGGGGTTATTACATATAGAAATGGTTCATTCCATAGAGAAAAAGCACATGGTCAGAAGGCAGCATGGCAGCACAAAGAAAGTGAATGTGAATGTCAGATATTAATTAAATTCTTGAGAATAGAGAGTAGTAATGATTTCAATGACAGTGACATTGATGAGGATTATAATGAAAGTGACAATAGTGATAACAGTGATGATTATGATGAAAGACATGCTCCAGACATTCAGGACTTCATCCAGGAGATTGTTTTAAGAAATGCCATGCACTAAAGAAGTACAAATGCAGGTTAGTTGGGTCAGTGGTCAATTCACCACTTATCTGCATTATATTGAAAGCCAATTATACCCTGAAATACAATTTCTATATACAGTCTATTCTGCTTAATTGAATACCGCTTAATGGAATACCATTGCATGGTCCCAATTTTTCTACCATAGGGTACATTATGAAAAACTTTGCATAAAGGAATACGGTTATTAGAATAATCCGCCTAAAGAAATAAAATTTCCTGAAATATGCAATACTTTTTTCAGTTCACTGTAAAATGAAATACTTTTTTCCCATTCACATTCTTGAAAAGTATCTTCTAGCCATTCCCCCAGTCCTACCCTCCCACATCGTAGAACCAAGGTCATGACTTGACTCTTGACCACTTGACTCTTCCGTGAATTGAGGACGGGGACAGGAGGGTAGGCAAGCACACCCTTTCCTAAAAATTGGGGGGTAAGTATAAGCTGCAGATGTGGAAAAGAGGTAAATAAGCCTGCCTTTTTTAAAGGCGAAAGTGAAAGAAGGTTTATGAACTATGAATTGAACCTATAGGCATCAGTTCTGCACATTCCAAGTTGACCGTGCGGAAAAGGAAAGAGCTCAGCTTGGACAAAATATTGCAGTTCTGAAAGCTCATCAGGACGAAAAGAAGATGCAAGCTGAACTGGCTTGGTAGTTTGGGATCTCAGCCCCAAGTTTCAAAGATCACCAAAAACAAGGTAGCAAAATATCGTAATAAGCAAAATGCATTCTTAAAAGTGAATGTGCAAATGTGGGTACTGTACTTCAGGATGTACATTTTAAAAGCTGCCTGAAGTATGAAGTAGAAGTACAGTATGATTGTTTCAGTTTTTGGAATATTCCAGATTATAGAATAAAGTTTGCAGGTCCCAGGTTTTCCCCAGCCAGATGGCACTTAAGTAATTTTCAGCAGTTGGTCTTCTTTCCCTTTTGTGTTTCTCACAAAGAGCATGCACCTGTGGCTCTCACTTCGATTCTAGATTCAAATATTGCCTGATGATATTGAAAATTGTTTTGTTAGACACTTGATACTTCTTTGCGATGGCCCATTGGGGAGTGGGGTTCTCTTGCTTGATGCAGGCTTCTACTTTCTGGATGAGGTCCTCGCTCAAAACAGGATGTGGACAGGACTTTCGTGATTTTTCATGAGCATGCAGTTGATCTTTCAGATGTTTGCTGACTTCTCACATAATGTGACACACAGTTGCTTCAGATACTGACCATCCTTTTGCAGTGCACTTTTTCACAATGATATAATGTGTATTCCACTCTTCAGAAAGATTTTTTAGGTAAGTCTCATGATGTCCTCACTCTACTGCCATTCCCAGCAGGAAAATCCCTGAGTAAAAATTAATACTCATTGCAGAGACCTTATATGTTCAACATGGATACTGGCATCATCAGCCTCGGTTGGGAAAACTTGGCCAAAGGGTTCAAAGTCGTTTCATTTTTCCGTGGGCACCTTCTGTACTGAAAGTTCACTCCTCTGTCACAACCTCACTTAACATGATGACCATGATGATGGCTTCTGCTCACTAATTGTAAACAATGACTGATCTCTGGTGAATGGAAGCAAGCTTTTCAACTTCAACAAACTGTTTCATTGCAAGCATGCCCCGTGTCAGGAAGCAAGAAATTAATCTAATAATGAAAGAAGTAAATTTCAGTGGGGGGGGGGGGGGGGGGAATCACCTCAGTCTTGGTATTAAATGCTTGAATTCACATTTAATGGCTTGAACTTTGCTGGTTGGTCAGTGTCCTGATTTTTCAGAAGCTTTTTTTTTCAACTTTGTAGTAAAATAAATATAATAAAGAAAAACCTTGGTTACAAAATATTGCAAAATCCTATTCATAGCAGCAATCAAACTTTTGGAAGTACAAAGAAATAGTTGCAGAATGATAACGGGAAAAAATAGACTGACCTGGATACATAATGGTTGAATGAAAGATGATGATGGAGGCAAGGGCACATTCAATCACATGCCATACACCCATAATTTCCTTCTTGTCCTGCTCAATACCCTAGCTTCTAGAAGCACCTCCTGGTAAGACAATGATATTGGAGAACATATAAAGGCTCATACCATTTTGGATTAAGTCTTGTGACTGGGCCAGCTACCATACCTAAATACATAGTTTGAATTATAACTTTTGGTGCTTCTCTTTACTGAAATGGAATGATAAAGTATGTAAAATGAATGAAATAAATGTGGGGAGGGGAGAAACATGAATCATCCACCAATCCATCCAGTATTGTAAACCCCTACTTCCATTTTTTGGTCTCATCTCCCCCACTCAACAAAAATTTGTTTTCACAGAAATGATTAATGAATGTTATTTTTTCTTTTATGACTTTTTTCCTGTAAATATATGAGGGCGGACTAAAAAGTTTCTGGCAAAGTTTTCTCAAGTAAGGTTACATGTGGCCTAGATTGATAAAACTTGAGTATGAGTACTCAGAACTACAATGGGGTCAAAAAAGACCCCAGAGAGAATATGTCATTAATTAAAGCTGAGAGGAAGCAAGGTTAAAGAAGATATATGCACTGAAGGAACCCGATTGCAATTGATCATTAAAATGGATATGTACAGGTGTAGGGTATGTGGGTTTGTTTTTATAGATACAGGGTGATTCAGAA